GGGGGGGGGGACATTTAAGTAATGACTTAGCATGCTGATCATTGCTTTGTAGGGCAGAGGGGGGGAAATTTAAGTAATGACTTAGCATGCTGATCATTGCTTTGTAGGGCAGAGGGGGGGAGGATTTAAATAATGACTTAGCATGCTGATCATTGCTTTGTAGGGCAGATGGGGGCAAAACTTAAGTAATGACTTAGCATGCTGATCATGGCTTTGTAGGGCAGAGGGGGGGAAATTTAAGTAATGATTTGGCATGCTGATCATCGCTTTGTAGGGCAGAGGGGGGGGAAGTTTTAAGTAATGACTTAGCATGCTGATCATTGCTTTGTAGGGTAGAGGGGGGAACATTTAAATAATATTTAAATACTGACTTGGCATGCTGATCATTGCTTTGTAGGGCAGAGGGGGGGGGAAGATTTGAATAATGACTTAGCATGCTGACCATTGCTTTTAATGGCCAGAGGGGGGGAAATTTAAATATGACTTGCATGACGATCAGGTCCTTTGAAGGGCAGAGGGGGGGGGAATATTTAACTAATGACTTAGGCAAAAACAAAAAATGGGGGGGCCCCTTATCATTGCTTTGTAGGGCAGAGGGGGGGAAGATTTAAGTAATGACTTAGCATGCTGATCATTGCTTTGTAGTGCAGAGGGGGGGGAGATTTAAATAATGACTTAGCATGCTGATCATTGCTTTGTAGGGCAGAGGGGGGGAAGATTTAAATAATGACTTAGCATGCTGATCATTGCTTTGTAGGGCAGAGGGGGGGTGGAAGATTTAAATAATGACAGCATGCTGATCATTGCTTTGTAGGGCAGGGGGGGGAAGATTTAAATAATGACTTGGCATGCTGATCATTGCTTTGTAGGGCAGAGGGGGGACAATTTAAATAATGACTTAGCATGCTGATCATTGCTTTGTAGGGCAGAGGGGGGACAATTTAAATAATGACTTAGCATGCTGATCATTGCTTTGTAGGGCAGAGGGGGGGAGTTTTAAATAATGACTTAGCATGCTGATCATTGCTTTGTAGGGCTGAGGAGGGGAAGATTTACATAATGACTTAGCATGCTGATCATTGCTTTGTAGGGCGGTGGAGGGGAAGATTTAAATACTGACTTAGCATGCAGATCATTGCTTTGTAGGGCAGAGGGGGGAACGATTTAAATAATGGCTTAGCATGCAGATCATTGCTTTGTAGGGCAGAGGGGGGGAAGATTTAAATAATGACTTAGCATGCTGATCATTGCTTTGTAGGGCAGAGGGAGGGAAACTTTAAGTAATGATTTAGCAGACTTAGCATGCTGATCATTGCTTTGTAGGGCAGAGGGGGGACAATTTAAATAATGACAGCATGCTGATCATTGCTTTGCAGGGCAGAGGGGGGGAAGATTTAAATAATGACTTAGCATGCTGATCATTGCTTTGTAGGGCAGAGGGGGGGAAGATTTAAGTAATGACTTAGCATGCTGATCATTGCTTTGTAGTGCAGAGGGGGGGGAGATTTAAATAATGACTTAGCATGCTGATCATTGCTTTGTAGGGCAGAGGGGGGGAAGATTTAAATAATGACTTAGCATGCTGATCATTGCTTTGTAGGGCAGAGGGGGGGTGGAAGATTTAAATAATGACAGCATGCTGATCATTGCTTTGTAGGGCAGGGGGGGGAAGATTTAAATAATGACTTGGCATGCTGATCATTGCTTTGTAGGGCAGAGGGGGGACAATTTAAATAATGACTTAGCATGCTGATCATTGCTTTGTAGGGCAGAGGGGGGACAATTTAAATAATGACTTAGCATGCTGATCATTGCTTTGTAGGGCAGAGGGGGGGAGTTTTAAATAATGACTTAGCATGCTGATCATTGCTTTGTAGGGCTGAGGAGGGGAAGATTTACATAATGACTTAGCATGCTGATCATTGCTTTGTAGGGCGGTGGAGGGGAAGATTTAAATAATGACTTAGCATGCTGATCATTGCTTTGTAGGGCAGAGGGGGGAAGATTTAAATAATGACTTAGCATGCTGATCATTGCTTTGTAGGGCAGAGGGGGGGAAGATTTAAATAATGACTTAGCATGCTGATCATTGCTTTGTAGGGCAGAGGGAGGAAACTTTAAGTAATGATTTCGCAGACTTAGCATGCTGATCATTGCTTTGTAGGGCAGAGGGCGGGAAGATTTAAATAATGACTTAGCATGCTGATCATTCCTTTGTAGGGCACAGGGGGGAAAACTTAAATAATGACTTAGCATGCTGATCATTGCTTCTTTGGGGAGAGGGCAAAGTATGCGTGCGGAGGTGACGGGAAAACAGGCTTGCGGGTGCGCAAGTGAGGGGAAAGTAGGCGGTCAGGTGCGCAAGTGAGGGGAGGTGCGCAAGTCAGGGGTTGGTCCGAAGGCATCCTCTAGGGTGGGTACACAGGTGCCGATCTGTGTTCCACTAAGGAGGGGGTTGCATACCCATTGGGTGAAAAATTGCAGTGTAATCTTTGATACGGCAGGGCACCGGAGGTTAAAGATGCAGTTAACTGACCAGTGGGGACCCAAAAACTATTTCCAAGATCCTTCAGGCCTCCTGATTGCAAAACCCACTCACCAGGGAAGATTGGACACTGGTTGTGGCGAGTCCAATTATATAACAATACTTTGCGGTGAAAGTTTAAACTCAGTTTCAACATATTCCAAGTTTTGACCAACAAGATAATATTGGCACTTCGCCAATTTTTCCTCTTAGGTTTGACTGGAAATGGTCCGTCTCGTTGAGAGTGCAGAGTAGGCACAGTTTTCATGTAGGCCAGGCATCAAAGGTCGTATCAGGTTGTATCCACAGATACCGTTTCATTGCCTATGGCAGTCCAGCAGCCGGTCCTAGCTTTGGAGCCTGAGGCATCGGATGTGGTCGCTTGTATGGCAAGTTTATGGATTATGGGTGTACTGGGAGCATTCCACGGCATTTCTGGCACGGGCACAAGGAAGTTGCTTTGGGTCCAACCAGACTCTGAATATTTTCCGCCTGCACTCCCCAGCTTTTGTACAAGAACGAGCATTGTGCGCGCTCATCGTGGTGCTTGTACTTGGGAGCATTTGATAGCTGCTAGCTGTTAGCTCAGCCCAGTTGCATTACGAGTCATGGTGGGGTGCGCATTGAGGGGTTTTTCGAGATGGAGTCCTCCCCAAGGCTTTCGCCCCCAAAGAATCCGGGAGCCCAACAGCGAAAGCCAGTCAGGAATGCCAAAGGCGACTTCGTCAGTAACTTTCCGACCTTCCTGGTGGCGCAAGAGTGGCGTGAGTGGGCAATGACCGAGCTTCCGCCCCTCGATGGCACGGCCTGGGCACGGGCCAAAATTTAGTGAGCAGGGGCCCAGGATACTGCAGATGATTTATTTTATGCAATTTTAGAAGCTAGATATAGCTAGGTCATTTTGATGCATCACCCATGGAGCAACCGGTTTCTGTTTCAACTTTGTGTCATTGACAGAGGCCACCCCCACGCCCTGGTGAGGCGAATCGAAGCCCCGCATATGGAGTACAAAGAGATGCTGGATCGGCGTCTCAGATGGATTGCCAATGCTAGGGAAGTTGCCAGGACCTGCTGCCTGCCGTTCCTGCTTTCACCGCTTTGTTTTGCCTTGGGGCCTTGGGGTTGATGCACTTGATAAAGTGGGCGGTTCAAGTTGTGGAGTAGGTTCATCCTTCATCATCCTTCAGAGCTTGGAGATGAGACTTCCTACAATGTCCTTTTTACAATGGCTTTGTGGGCGAGAAAAGGCACCACTTGATCATCTCCCCCTTCCATGTATGCATTTCTTTGCCAAGAGCTTGGAAAACCCACGTCACACATCCAGGACCGAGATTATGGACCTGCGGAGCGCTGTGGGTTGGGCACTAGGCTCAGCAACTATTTAATTATTGGTGGGTTGGGCATGGTTGGGCTAGCTCAATTCCAAGTTCCAAGATGCTCCAAGGATGAGACCGATGAATTGTCCCTCCTGGTGGTTTTGCGACAGCACGTGGGTCGTCAACTCCGCCTGGTCCACGTGTGAGACTAAGATCAACGGTGCAGGTGCAACGGCTTTGGCAGCGCGGTTCAGCTAAGGACAGATGGTCGAGCTACCAACTGCAGCTGTCATTTGAAAAGCAGGCACGTCTGCCACATTTGCTTACTAGGGCATAGTTACGAGCCCTTGGTGCAAAAAAGGGGGATGGCGGCAAGACGTGTGCAGGCGGACATGATGAATGGCTTCCTGACCCAGTTTGTGCGATCTGGAGCCAACTTCTTGAAGAGGATCCTGAGACAGATGCTCGATTGAAGATGCGAAGTGGTGATGGCTTGCTGGTGGTGCGAAGTGGCTATTCGCCTCGCTTGTTGTCTTTAGTCTTAGGATGTCTTAGGCGCTTCCTCCAGTCTACATTTAGTTGGTCTCTCTGAATTTTGGCTGGCTATTTCAAAGCATCGTGCCACAACCTTTTCCATTGATCCATTGAGCAGCTGGATAGCACGTTGATAAAGCGGCGGTCAATTTTTGCCACCTATGGCACCTGTTTGAACATTTTTATATTGCATAGTAGTACTGTCAAGCTTCTCCCTTTGACCTCCCATCACAAGAGTATCCGATCCTGAGGGATAAAGTGAACGACAAGGACTTCCTTAATGTCGTGGCTTAGATGCAGTGCGTGATTTTCATGAAACACTTGCTTTCCAGTTGAACTTCACAAGCTCCTAGGGGACTTCCTAGTCCTAGCTTCTTTTTTTGGGTCACGTGAAGGTCTGAGGCTGACAGGCAAAAAATGGCTACCTATAGAGTCTACGGGGTTCTTAAACTGGTGGACCCATTCATACATATTCATATACAATTCCCTTTTTTTCTCATAGGCAAGCCAATTTTTCGTAAGGGGTGCCATATTAAATTGAGAAACTCGCGTGTGGGGATGGGCCAAAACCTATGCTGCAAAAATGATTGGGGATGAACATCCATAATTCGCAGCTCCTTTTGTTGTTTCAGGGTGCCATAGCCATCCATAGCCCAGGTTGAAAGTGGAAATATCTTGAGTCAGCCGTGCGGCTTTTGTTCGAGCTATAAAAAGTGGGAGGCTCATGCCTTGGACCGTGAGGCGCCATGATGACCGATATGGTGACGCGGTGACGCATGCATGATATGGTATATATTTTATACATTATGCTATACACTGTAATACGCCATAAGACTTATGAGACTTATGAGACTATATGTATATATTATATTATATTATTATATATTCACACCATATGTTGTAATCTTTAGGTGGTGATCATCGTGCATTTGTGGCTGACCTCACGAGAGAACCGGACCTCCCGGACCTCCCGGACCTCTGCTCGCCCCCAGCTCGAAAAATGGATTGAAGAGGTGGCACTCTTCGAATCTCGTCCGAAGCGCGCGCATCTGCGGTGTCTCATGGCTGGGTAAGTACCATCCCTGAGAACCCCTCGGGATGGTAGATAAATTAGTAAGTATGATTCCAACTCTGACTTTGCATTGATGTTTCGAATAAATCATATCCATATATATATATAAATATCTATCTACCTACCTACCTACGTATCTATCTACCTACCTACCTACCTACCTACGTATCTATCTACCTACCTACCTACCTACGTATCTATCTACCTACCTATCTATCCATCCATCTATTTAGTCTAGTCTAGCCTAGTCTTACCTTATCTTATCTTTTTTTCATCTTATCTTATCTCATCTTGTCTTATCTCATCTGATTTTATCTCATCTTATCGCATCTTCTCTTATCTTACCTTATCTTATCTATCTTATCTGATCTTATCTGATCTTATCTTATCCTATCTTGTCTACCTGATCTCATCTTATCTTATCTAGAATCTACCTTTTCTTTTCTTATCTTACCATATCTTATCTTATTGTATTTTATCGTGTCTTATCTTATCTTGTCTCATCTTTTCTTTTCTTGTCTTATCTATCTATTTGATGATATTATCTATCTATCTGATAATCTTATCTTATCGATATCTGTATCTGCATCTGCATCTATATCTATATCTACATCAATGTATGTGAATAAATATCATGTATGTCTATATCTTCATCCATATCTATATCTATGTCTATTTATCTATCTCTATTTATCTATATCTATGTATCTCTATGTATCCCTATCTATCTACCTATCTATCTGTCTATCTATCTATCTATGTATGTATGGATATATGTATCCATCTATGTACCATGTATCTATGTATTTATGTATCTATGTATTTATGTATCTATGTATTTATGTATCTATGTATTTATGTATCTATGTACCTATCTATGTATCTATCTATGTATCTATCTATGCATCTATCTATGTATCTATCTATGTATCTATCTATGTATCTATCTATCTATCTATCTCTATCTGTCTCTATCTATCTCTACCTATCTCTATCTATCTCTATCAATGTATCTATCTCTATCTATCTCTATCTCATTCTATCTCATTCTATCTCTATCTATCCCTGTCTATCTCTTCTATCTAACCCTATCTATCTCTATCTCTCTCTATCTCTCTCTCTCTCTTATCTACCTCTACCTATCCATCTCTCTCTATCTATCTCTCTCTATCTATCTCTCTCTATCTATCTCTCTATCCCCCTGTCTATCTATCTCTCTATCTCTCTATCTCTCTATTTATCTATTTATCTATCTATCTATGTATGTATGTACATATGTAAATAGTGTAATGTAATGTAATGTAATGCAATGCAATGCAATGCAATGTAATGTAATGTAATGTATGTAATAATGTAATCTATTGTATGTATGTATGTACGTATGTATGTCTGTATGTCTGTATGTCTGTATGTCTGTATGTCTGTATGTATGTATGCATGTATGTATGTATGTATTGTATGTATGTAATGTATGAATGTAATGTGTATGTAATGAATGTATGTAGTGTAATGTAATGTAATGTTATGTAATGTAGTGGTTTGTAATGTTATGTAATGTTTTGTAATGTAATGTAATGTTATGTAATGTAGTGTTTTGTAATGTTTTGTAATGTTATGTAATGTAATGTAATGTAATGTTTTGCAGTGTAATGTAATGTAATGTAGTGTAGTGTAGTGTAATGTTTTGTAATGTTATGTAATGTAGTGTTATGTAATGTAATGTTAAGTAATGTAATGTAACCTCATGTAATGTAGTGTAATGTTTTGTAATGTTATGTAATGCCCTGTAATGTTTTGTATGTATGTCTGTTTGTCTGTCTGTATGGATGGATGTAATGTATGTAATGTATGTAATGTATGTAATGTATGTAATGTATGTAATGTATGTAATGTATGTAATGTATGTATGTATGTAATGTGTTAGTAATGCAATGTAATGTAATGTACTTTAGTGTAGTGTAGTGTAATGTAATGTAATGTAGTGTAGTGTAATGTAATGTAATGTAGTGTAGTGCCATGTAATGTAATGTAGTGTAGTGTAATGTAGTGTAGTGTAACGTAATGGAATGTAATGAAATGTAATGTAATGTAATGATATGTAATGTACTGTCGTGTAGTGTAATGTAATGTAGTGTAGTGTAGTGTAATGTAATGTAGTGTAGTGTAATCTAATGTAATGTAGTCTAGCGTAGCGTAATGTAATGTAATGTAGTGTAGTGTAATGTAATGTAATGTCGTGTAGTGTAATGTAATGTAATGTTATGTAATGTAGTGTTTTGTAATGTTATGTAATGTAGTGTTTTGTAATGTAATGTAATGTTTTGCAATGAAATGTAATGAAATGTAATGTAATGTACTGTAGTGTAATGTAATGTAGTGTAGTGCAGTGTAGTGTAATGTAATGTAGTGTAGTGTAATGTAATGTAATGTAATGTAGTGTAGTGTAATGTAATGTAATGTAATGTTGTGTAGTGTAGTGTAATGTAATGTAGTGTAATGTAATGTAATGTAGTGTAGTGTAATGTAATGTTGTGTAGTGTAGTGTAATGTAATGAAATGTAGTGTAGTGTAATGTAATGTAATGTAGTGTAGTGTAGTGTAATGTAGTGTAGTGTAATGTAATGTAATGTTGTGTAGTGTAGTGTAATGTAATGTAATGTTGTGTAGTGTAGTGTAATGTAATGTAGTGTAATGTAATGTAATGTAGTGTAGTGTAGTGTAATGTAATGTAGTGTAGTGTAGTGTAATCTAATGTAATGTAATGTAGTGTAGTGTAGTGTAATGTAGTGTAGTGTAATGTAATGTAGTGTAATGTAATGTAGTGTAGTCTAGTGTAATGTAATGTAGTGTAGTGTAGTGTAATGTAATGTAGTGTAGTGTAGTGCAGTGCAATGTAATGTAATGTAGTGTAATGTAGTGTAGTGTAGTGTAGTGTAATGTATTGTAATGTTGTGTAGTGTAGTGTAATGTAATGTAATGTAGTGTAATGTAATGTAGTGTAATGTAATGTAATGTAGTGTAGTGTACTGTAGTGTAGTGTAATGTAATGTAATGTAGTGCAGTGTAATGTAATGTAATGTAATGTAATGTAATGTAGTGTCGTGTAATGTAATGTAATGTAGTGTAGTGTAGTGTAATGTAATGTAATGTAGTGTAGTGTAATGTAGTGTAGTGTAGTGTAGTGTAATGAGTGTATGCATGTATGTATCTATCTATGCATAGAGATGTGATATGTATAAACTTTAGGCTTGCTACTTAGCCTCTGGGGGCGACCTGGCCGTCCCATGCCTCTGCAAAGCCTATCGAAAAGGATACCGTGCGACTGCTGTCATGGGTTCATGCTAGGTCGCTTCCTTATGTTGCACGTACGGGCGACCTGTTGTCAGCTTTCGCACCTCACTCATCAAACTTGATTTTTGTGCCAGTGCTGCTTGAAACATCTTGACACTTTTTACCTCTGAACAAACCTCCATACATGCCATCAAAATCTAAAGATCAGCGCCTTGCCTCTGTCTGGCGATGAGGATCCGCAATTTCCCAGCAAGTCCCGAACTCTCTTTTTCTCAGATGCTTGGCTGCCAGAACGATAAGGCACCAGATGGACGTCGCCCCACTTCCATCCTTGGCAGTGCCCACATGTTCTCTTCTCCTATTGTCCTGCCACGGTCGTCACCATTCATCCAGTGATATTTTTTCGTGGTTTGCTTGCTGTGTTTTTGCAGGCATCTGCTTGGGGTTCCCTGTTGGGTTCACCATTTTATCTCCAATCCGTCAGAGATGGGAAACAGCAAGGTCATGGACGGATCATTTCTTTTTGGGCAGTGTGGCAGTGAGGTTTATTTCACCTCCCCAAGGGCGGTTTTTTCTTCCCTGCCGTTGCAATTAGTTTGTGCTGTGACAATGTTCATGGATTCCCTGTTCTCTTCTTGACTTGGTGAGTAGATCCATACCTCGCTATGGTCTTGAAGTAATGATTAGCGGCAAGATGTTTGTGTCTATGTTTGAATTTGACAAATTTCTTCACAAATCCTACCTACTGCTCATTCTGCGAGCCACCAAACATGTCTAAAGGCATCTTCGGGCATCATCTTCTCTTGAAGCATGACTCAGAAAATTTATATTTGACGGTCTTTGACTTCTAAGGGGAAACGCTTGAAGGAACTGGAGGCCAAGTGGGTAGTTGGAAGATCGTTGAAGTGGGTCGAAGTTCCAGGTTCAAAGAGAGCATCGAGGTTAACCAAAGCAATGTTCTAGGACACTCTCCAAAAGTAACCACACATTGCCGGAAACAGTGAATCAACATCAGCACTTGGAGGTGCATGCAACCTCTCTAAGTACACACATGGGACCCCACATGATCGGTGCCAGTGGAAACTAGATCCGAAGGTGACTAAGGTGTGACTCCTTTCGTTGTAGCCGCCAGACGGCCAGGATGGTACCTCCAAGGTTCGTCCGCTACAGCCGTTGAGCCCCTTCGTTTCTTGGCCACTTTGGAGTCACTTTCTGTGCTTGGAACGATGGAACCGCATTCCCATCGAGGCGAAATGGGATGAGAGTCGGCTTGATTTTACCGAACGGGAAATGGCAAATGAAGCAGCTTGTCTTGATGCTTGAAATGCGGAGTGGTTCGGTGATGTTAGAAGATGTTAGGATTTTACATCCAAGAACATGCAGTCTTGCTTAAAACGTAGCAGACATTTGCTGCAATTCTGTGTGGCCCTCACGCTGACAGACGTGTCTGTCCCCGGGCATATTGCATGCTGTCCTACAGTCTTACCTGTAAGTACTTGTTGACAGTGCCGAGTCGTTTTTTGTGACTCTAGGACTCTAGGACATGGAGCAACACTATTGCGTAGGATCTATTGCGTACCATTGGTCCTGGGCACAGTGAAGGCAATTCAACACAAAATGCAAGACTGAGGTGTTGAAAGGATTGAAGGCAGCCGCTCGGTTCTGTGACTTCTGGGGTTGGGGCTGGGATTGGCAGCTGGGAAAATCCACACAATGGCACACATCGACCCAAATGTTTTTGTCCATGTATGATTTTCGGCACCAACTGCGAACCCAGGACCAGTTCGGCCTCAAGGAGCCGCAGACTGGACCAGGGGATGGGGCCAGGCTGCTCAAGCTGTCTTGGTGTAAAGAGGTCATATATAGAGTTGGGATGATTGGTGTCTGGTGTGGGGGTCCCAAGAAAGGTGTTTTGAGCAGTAGCTAGCTGGAGTTACTCTTGCTTCAGCAAGGGGAGGACTGATTTTTCAAGGGCTCTAGACAACCTGTATTTAGCATATCAAAATCCAATCAAAATCCTATCAAAAGCCCATCCAGGCTCATCTGTTCACGCTAGTTTGACTAAGCCGCACCAAGCCCAGGTGTGCTTACCTCCTCACTTCAACCTTCAGGAGCACGAGTTCAAAGTCATGGTGCAGCGCGCTGTCACGATGCTGTCTGCCCTCAAGTATTGCACTGCGCCTTGGCATATGTCCAGCAGGTGAAGATAGGTGACAAAAAAAGGCACTCCAGGGCTGGTCCCACTGCACCTCCCAGCAGGTCAGCCTCATGGTCATCGAGTGGCTCAGCTGCACACGTTTTGCCGCATGAATGGGGTGTACCATGATCCCCTATGGGGACACTAGAATGCACATGAATGCACAGGACCCACAGTTGGATATGCCGTTTGAGGTCCCTCAAGCACTTTGCACGCTTGGGAGGCACATGACAGTTTGGCTGAGGGATTTGTAGCAAGAATAATTTCAGATGGTGGTGTTGTGCTTGCTTCATCAGAGTCGCGGAGCACAAGGAATTATAGAAACATCTATATGAAAAGATCAAGATAATGTTTTGATTTTCCGGGCATGTTTATGTGACTGGTGGGTTGGAACTCTGGCGAGAAGTCCGCTTGCAGGAGCCCTCTTCCTTGCAGAAAAGATGAGTTCAGATCACGTGGTGGAAATCATGAAATTCGTGGGCTGCACGGCAGCAAGACTAGCAGTGATAGATAGTGATAGCAGAGTATCGTGCAGTGGACCATTGGACCATGGTGTGAATTCGTAGAAGCTGAGCATATTGATGAAGTTCGTTTGATTATTGCATATATATGTATAATATACAATTATATATGTATATATATGAATTTGCTGTGTGCCCATCCGTGCCAACCCTACACTGGGTCTCAAATGAAGCTACTCGTATTGCACAAAGATGAACCAAAATGTCATATGCAAAGCTCCTGGGGGTTGTGCAGGTTTGTCCCTCGACTCTGCGGCTCCTTGGATGTAGCCGATGGATCTCAGGGTTGATGGTTGCTGTATTCTGGGTGGTTTCATTCTTTTTTTTTCCAATCCTATTTGGGATTTGGGATAAATATGACATACTAGTTATATGTATACATATATATATAATGCGCGCAATATTGTGGGATGCTTCTCTAGAGGCTCTCATTTCTTGACATTGCTGGCACTTGTCTCTGCAATACTGGCACCAGCAGATCCTGCAGTGGCCCATGAAACCTACTGTCGCATTGGCCATTGCACAACTCCATGAGAGTTTGTGACTTTCGGCTGGAAGATGTGTTCATGCTGGCGGCATCTGGCCTAGGAGAGCGACCTCATTGCTGTGGCTGACACTGCCCAGGCAGGGGAGACCGGGAGACCGGTGATGCTCGCTGTATTCTGCCATGGATTTGCCATCGCAGGCTGGTTGGTCCAACCTGCGGCGGGGAGATTATCAATCTAACTGGTCCAACACATCTCCAGTATCTCGGCTGCCTGAAGCATTCGTGGTTGATGTTTGTTGGATGTGCCGCTCGGATCAGATGTCATGGACAGGCTGAGTCATGTCGAGCTACTCTGGTAATTTAACCTGGCTATGGAAAATGGCCCATTTACAGACGAGACCCGCTTCTAACCCTTAAAACTATTATGCTAACCTCAAGGAATCCTTGCCTAACATATAAGGGTTAGGCGTGCTCGTGCTTACAGACTCTCAGAGTATTTACCTATTGAAAATGGAGATTTTCATGATCCAGGCTGTTTTGGCCGTGTGAAATGTGCGGATTGACTCGTGCAATCCTTTGTGACCCTTTAGTGGGTCTATATATGTCTACATAGTATATATATATATATGGATCTATGCTTTTCCTTTTGCTAGTCTTGGTGTGTCCTGGCATGTGCGGATTTCCTTGCTCTTTCACATAGTTCCTGGAGCGTTTTCCTTTTCTACTCCATCAGGTGGTTGCTGTGCAGCCCTTTTTCCGTTTGTTTCCTGTGTACATTGTGCAGATGGCACAGTTTTGGTAGCCCTGTGGTGTTTTTTGACCCCTGTGACAGCTGGCCATGTTACCGGGTACCTTGTTTGCCTATTTGGTTACCAAGGTAGACAATGTGAGAGCGGCCCTTCACGCTCGATGCCCAGTGGACAAGGGTGACCGGCTGGTGAGAAGTGGGGCATTTGTTTGCATCGTAGTGTTTTTTGCATTGTGTTGAGGAAATGGTGATTGCATGGAAGATGAATGGACATCATTTTCGAAGGGACTGTAAGTGTCATGCGTGAGCAATGAATGGCTCAACAAATCAAGAGAAGGAACAGATATTGGATATCAGAACAGTCCAGTTGATGTACTGTACGTTGATATTGAAGATGAATTCATGGCCAAATCGGCTGACCCAAGAGATGGACTGTTTGAGAGAGAGGCAGACGGACGGACTGATCAACTATAAGATAGATAGATTAGATTAGATTAGATTAGATTAGATTAGATAGATAGATAGATAGATAGATGGACAGATAGACAGACATACAAATAGATAGAGAGACAGCTAAATAAAAAGATAGATAGATAGATAGATGGATAGATAGATAGATAGACAGACAGACAGATAGATAGACAGATAGATAGGTACTGTATGGTACTGTAATTAATATCGTAAAGATAGACAAACAGTGGACAAAGATAGATGAGGTACTGTACTGGAGCCATCCAAATCAATAAATGGGTGAATGATGGTGAATGAACACGTGGCTGAATAGTCAATAGTCCGGGAGGTTCTCGAAAGACACGTCCGCTGCACATGGTGCTTGTCTATATGACTAGGTCTGCATTGAGGTGTTTGTTTGCCACTGTTACATCCAATTGGTGAGAGGAATTAGCTCAGATGGCGTCCTCCTAAGCACCCCTGAGGTCAAAACAGATATGGTCAAGATGGCCAGGGACGCACGAGAAACTGTGAAACTCGTGCAGGAGCGCGTGCTTGTGGGTTTGTCTTCTTACAGGGCAAGGGGGTGACGGTGAGAAGCAAATTGCCAATCTGACAACTGCTTTCACTGATCTGGTACATCTGTAGAGTACGTGCCACATCCTGCCACAATTTCGGAAGGCTGAAGCCACGAAAGCTGAAAAGGTGGAGGCTTCTGATGTCGAGCGACTGGGCACAGAGTCCGGTTGACTGGGTACATATTCCGGCACGAATATATTTTATCTTGGCTTCAGGTTGGATATGGACAGACTGGGATCGCACCTCTAAGTACACGCAAGACCTCGCAGGTCCTTTTCTTTTCTTTCTCCCTCTCCTCTCCCACCTCAGAGCAGCAATGGCCTGACTGAGGGAGAAGCTGGAGAGCGAGCTGAAATTCCACCTTCAGCTTTGGCAGGCGACCTCGTGCTCAAATGTCAGAGAGTTACTTTGGAAAGCTGCGATCTGGGTGTCACCTTGGTTGGTGAATGTTTGATTGGACCAAGTCAAGACATGACGTCACTCTCCAGCTTTGAAGATCATGGCCCTAACAGGTTGAGTCCATCAGCCCCGTCCCCATCAGCTGTGCCCGTTGCATCCAATTGCATCCCCTTGCGCCAGCTCATCAGCAAGCACTTTGAGAAGACTGCACGAAAAGGTGAGGAAAAGCAACAGGCCTTCAGTGCAGCATCCGGAGAACCAGGAGAAGATCCAAATGACAAGGTCACCTGGCAGAAGGTGCGGATGAATTCAATAAAGAAAATCCGGCTGGGCCGTGCTGTGAAAAGCTAGGCAAAATCTGGAGCAAGTACAAACTATTACTGCATCCAAATTTGCATAGGTCAAAACTTCCAGCCCTTAATCTACTGATATCTCTCTAGGTACTAGGTGATATGGCCCTTTTAATTGTTGGGGCACCCAATTGTGACCCATGCCCACTTTCTTTGTGGTGAGGTATTCGGTGTAGTCAATTTCAATCACGCCGTCCCAGGCCAAGCTTCAGGTAACCATCGAGATTTGACGCGGCACCGTTGTGACAGTCACCTGTTGCAGAAGAGCCTAAGAGACTGAGAACGGAAGATGCACCGGAAATGAATTTCGGAGATCATTTTACCGCTGGAAATTGAACATTTTGGATTCTGATGGATGATGAACAAACTCTGACAATGCCTTTCGCAGGTGCGGATCGCATCTTAGGGTAGGCTACACGTTCAGAATACACAAACATGCACAAACAGTGCACACGCAAAGATCTGTGGACAGATTTTGAATTTGAGTTTCTATTCGTGTCATGTCACTGCGCTTTCCCTAGCTCATAGCACCAACAAACCAGGTGGCTCTTCGGTTCTCTATCTAGTCGTGCCCAAGGCAAGACCCTCCTCGAGCGAGTTTAACCCCAAAGTACTGCTCTCCTATAGGAGTGAAAGCAGGACAGGGCTGCTCTGATCTTTGCTTGGACAACGCCGGTGTCAGGTCTTTGCTTGGAGCAGCAGAGGTTTTCATCAGGTTAGTTCTATGACATCTTTCTTTTATCCCTGACACCGCTCATCGTAGCACGGAACGTTTCACTTCTTTTTGGTAGCTCCTGCAAGCGTAACTCCGATTTTTGCATATGTCGGAGCCGACGAAGGACAGGTGTTCATGACAGGGAGAAGCACAAATGACACTGCGTTTGCATCATCTTTGCACTATCTTTGTTTCTGGCTTCTGGCTTCTCACTTACAATTGCCATGCAGCCTACGCTTCAAGCGTGCGGGTAGCAGTGCCATTGGCTGAAACCGAGCCTGTGCGAAAATCAAGCATTAATCACCTTCGCCGTTCGCCTGCCGCTTCTCACCAGCTAAACAATCCACAACAGGACTGAAATTTGATGATTAGACTTTTGGAGGTTGCCTTTCCCTATGAGCCCCCCTAGAATTCCTTGCAATTCCAAATGGGACAAGACTAAGGTCAATGGATGTTCAGTTAAATGTGCTCCCGAAGCATGTGCAATACGAATCAATACGATAGAACAATATAGAATATGTACATAGCCTTGGCAATGTTTGGTCAGGATATTCGGACAGAACTAGTGTCACAATACAACTGGCAGATCAACTTGGGCTGGGGCTTTTGAGCAATAACTTATGGGTGGTAGTCATCTTCAGCCCACTATTTTTCCATCTCTTTTTGATTTTAATTATATACTGCTTGAGTGCTTTTCAAATCTTTTTTTAAAAATAAGACTGCGACAGTACAAAGTGTTTCCCCATCGAAGCAGCTGGAGACATTCAAGCCGCGAGTTTCATGTTCTCAATGGCAGATCCCTACCGCTACCTCACATTAAATCCTAGATTACCATCGATCGCATGCCACAGGAAATTCGAGGAACAGAAGAACAGCATGTTCTGAAAAAGTACCAGCATCCCTCCAATGCATCTCAAAATTTGCATTGGCAACCCGACATATGGCACAGCCAAAGTTGGCAGCCTCGTATCGCCAGGCGTGGCTACACTTTGGAAACGGCTGGGGCATCATCGACGCGTCCAACCGTTCGTTGGGAGATGGGGACCTTCAAGCCCTCGTAGCAGCCCTCAGCAACGACAGCTGCAACTGTGGATTGGGCGTCGGCGCAGCTGTGCCAAGGTCCGGACAGCCATGATTTGTGCGGGGCCTAAGGTGTTGCCTCTGCATTGGCGGTCTCCAATCGTTCCAAAATAGGCTGAATCTACCCAGACATGCCAGAGAATCCTCCTATTCCTCCCCAGATGGTATGGGTGACTCCTAGTTTTTGCACTTTTGGTCAAGAAATGTCAAGTGCCTCGTCAACCTTATTCTGACAGGCAAAGCGCATGGGCACCCTTTGCGAGAGCTGAACCTTGGCAGGGCCCCCCAGGAGATTTCATGGTGGAGAGCTACCAAGATGGAGCCGGTATCCCATTGAAACAAGCCATTGAACTAAGAAGTACTAAGAAGCCCTTGAAGTTGAAGAAGTTGAACTAGGCACATGCAAAGGACCATTCCCGTCTTTGATTCTGGGACCTGTCAAGGTGGCAACAAACTGACGGACGCTGGCCTCAAAGAGGTGTTGGCGTTGCTGCGTCAGGACTGTCTGGGGCCCAGCTGCATCGAACAGACCTGGCAGGGTGGCTGAGGTGTAGTATTCATACATCTATGAATATGGTGAGATATGGATAATTAATTAGGATTAATTGTGATTACCATGTTTTAACCATGGCACACAGGCACACAAGGGGATAGGATGGATAGGGGTAGCAGATGCTGGATTTGGCAAGATGGCCATGGACCTTCGTCTATGCTGGAGCCGAGGCAGTTAGGCCTGAGGTGCTTTTCATTGAACCTCTACATTGCAGGTGAAGTGCAGCACGCTGGCTCACCACGAGAGGCATGTCATGCTGGGAGGGCCACCACCTGCGATAAAGACGACGCTTTTCCCCAGGTAATATCAGTTGAAGGGAGATCTGCCGGATCTGCCTGGTGAACATGACTGTCCTTCGAGATTTGGACCTGCTTGGCTCATCAGGAAGGGTCTCCAAGAGTCAGCAGCATGCTGGAGTCCCTCAGCATTGCTCCTTGGTGGTAAGGGGTGAGGCTTGAAGCATGTCAATATCTCGTATATCCAAGTCCCCGACATGGGTGGCAAAACCCACCATTCCACGGTCTACTTTAGTGATGGATTCATGTGCTTGCAAGCCCTGGCCTTGGTAGCACCATGACATACTAATATCATATACTAATATCATATACTAATATCATATACTAATATCATATACTAATATCATCCAACCTCGCTGCGCTGAGGCGTGCAACTCGCAGCTGTACTTCCGAGACAGGCTGCTGGTGGAGTCTTAACCTCAGCTCTTTTTGCCAAACAAAATCAGAGCTGGAGCAGCTGGGCCTGAGGTCACTCCCTCGGTCCATTGCAAGCTTGTCACCGCCTCAGCTGTTGGAGACGTGGACTTTGAAAAACTTGGCGGAACGTGTGCAACACATACCAACACATGCCAATAAACGCTAGACTCTGCAATCCGAAGCATCCAAAGCGCCAGAAAAAGAAGAACCATTCCCATTCTTTTGCTTTCTGATGTGACTGGTGCCAGGACATCCTTGACTGCCCTGGACATCTCTTTTGCACCTCTGAATGGAAAGGTGGCAATCAGTTGCGCTCTTAATGGAAGCGAGCAACAATGGATGAGGCGAAAATCTTGGCCAGCAAGGTCACTGTATTGGATGTCAAAATGGATTTGCCCAAAAAACGCATACTCCCAAATCAAGATTAAATCCACACTTTCAAATTGCAATTTCGAGGGTATCCTCCAGTTTTGACCGACCCCCAAAATATATTACAAAGCAAATGTTTGTGTGGCGGTGAGGTTTAGCCAAAGCTCTTGCGGAGTCATGCAGAACTTTGAGAAGTGGGGTGCCCCAACTCTCTGCAACTGGCCTTTGGGCAATGTCACTGGCTGCGCTACCAGCACAAGCACACATCACAGGCAGCTTAAGGGCATAGTCAAGGAGTACCTCAGAGGTGAAGGTTTTCTGAACGATTCCGTGGGATGGTATCTTTTACTGTAGTCTGTCTAAACTCTCGACACAATTCCAGACATGGCTCCGTTCTAGCGGTTTGTTTGTCGTGCAGTCAGGGAGCTGAGAGCTGTAGGAACCACATGTAAGTCACACATTTTACTCAGATGATATCCGGCTGCACTTGCCGACTTAAATTAAATCTACTGAGGCCTCTCTTTGGCAGGATGTGGTCTGGGCTCATGCGGGCAAGCTGATTTGAGCTCAGGTGGTCAGCTTTTATTTCCTTGTCAGTCTTCACTTTGGTGTTGTGCCCTCCATTTCTGTGCTGAGGACTGTGTTGCCATAGCTGCCCTTCTTGGACGGGCGGCAGCAGAGGTGCATTCGCACGCCCATGATTTCGCTGATGTCTTGAAGGAAAATAGATGGCAGGACCTGAGCGACCGCACATTGGAAAAGGGTCCTTCCAACATGCCGGATAGTACCACAGCAGTGCTGTGATGGACATGACATAGCACAACATTGCAAGACGTAGCTGTTTTGGCTTGAAGATGTGTCACCTTACTTCATAGCCTTGGCCACGGGTCGCACGAACTGCTTTGAGTTCCTGCAGCAAAGGTTGGAGATGGCGCCCTTCGGGGTGGAAGCCGGCACCGGTCATCATGCCAAGGTGAGAGGGTTGTTCCGTTCTGGAGTAACCCGCCCAGCTTTGATCTGAAATCCTGAACATACGTATATACAGTATATATTTATATATATAATATATACACATTCATTTTATATACATAAATAACAACGCAGAACAACATCATATCCCGTTAGAACTGGCTCTGGACTCGTTCCCTTCCAGCATTGTATTTATAGAATTTTAAAGACTGTCTCTACATGTCTATAGACTTGCGGGCTTGGTGAGGCCTGGCAGAGTGGTCCTTGGTCGCACGTCCTGGCCTCCTTGACGAACTTGGGGAGCTCTCGGGTGGTGAACCGATTCCATCGCACTGCGGCCATGACAGGATGCGCGGCCGCCCAGGCATGGCGAAACGCCCTGTCCATCAGTCCTGGGGTGCTGGATGAGGTGCTGGCGGCCGTGACTGTGAGGAGCCTGGGCAAAGGGCACTGGCGATCTGCCATTGATTTTCTATCAGAAGCTACTGCTCGACACTTTCGGGTGAAGCTGAATGTGGTGAGCTACAGTACCTCCCTGTGATTCAGCAGTGTTTTTTTTGTAAATATCGAAGCATGGGAGGATGAAGTCATAGCTAGGACTGATGGCCTACTTTTTTGGGGCCGGGTAATGGTACTCTCATCAGGGTGATTCCAGTGTGGAAAAGTCAATAGATTGGATCACACGCACAATATGTTTTTGCACATCAATTGGTCCTATTTTGCATTTTTCCCATCCCGTTTCTGCAGGAGTTCTCGTGGCCCCTAGGTACTGTCATCTCTGCATGTGAGAAGGCCGTGCGTTGGCCAGAAATCTTGAGCATTGTGGATGGTATGCTGCCACGCGTCAGCCCCAATGAAGTCTCCCTTGGTGCTGCGATCGCTGCATGCGAGAAGGCCCCATGGGGTTAATGGCCGTGGCTCAAACATGGGGGGTGCCGAAGGGACCAAACCTGAGGCATTTTAGTTTAGATATTTTGACAATTTGACAACCTGTTGTACTTTTTTTTGAGGGCGAATTTAACTGATTGTTTTCGCAAACCGCCCCATATTCACCAATCTTTTGAAGTACTGTTTTAGGATGTTTTAGGTAGTTGGGTGAGATGACCCACCTTAGTAGACGGGTGATACAAGAGATGGGACATCTCACCAACAAGCATGTTTTTTGATATCGATATTACGTCGAGATTGATCTGTCACGTTGCGTATGGGCCGTATGGGTCTCAAGCAGCCCCAGATACCCTCAGCAAAGGCATAGAAATGCCACAGTCCATGGGCAAATTGGGCAATTCCAAGGCTGGGGCTTGGCAAGTGGCTTTGTCGCTGTTAGTCGACTTCAAGGACTGCGATGTAAAGCTTAACACCGTTGTCTACAACGCCGCAATTCTTGCATGCAGAGGCCCTGGGTGGGTCGTGGTCAGATGTTGTAAGGTGAACAACAGTGACATGCGCGTAGCGTAGCTTGACATAGTCCAGCGTTGCCGCAGAAACGCTATAAACCGCCCCTGCCGGATTGGCCATTAGTTCGAGGCTTTAGCTGGGTAAGTGCCCAGATGCTGCTGAATGACCTGAAGTGCCAACAGATCTCAGCAGATGCTATCACCTACAGCTCCTCTGCTGGATAGTCAAAGAGCTGCTCTTGCATGGAAACGGACGATTTGAGACTTTAAGCAGCTTGCGCTTGACCTGAACTTCCAAGGATCCTCAAGTCAAGTCCCCTCAAATGCCAGCTACTTTTAACGTTCCTTCAGTTCTCGGTCATTTGGCATGATGAAGCTTTGTTTTGGGTAGCAACACACCTTCAAAGGCTTTTGCTTCCACACAACTCAGCCAAGGCTCCTTCACGGCCGTTGAAGCCAAGGCAGGCAGATGGCAATCAGCAAGCATGTTTGTATCGCACTCCTGCAGTCCCATTCAGCTGGGTGCCAGTTTCTCAGCATGAATCCTGAGAACACTTATATAGTTTGTGGCAGTTGGTGCCTAGTCTGAGTCAGAATAGTCGCCGCGTGGTTGAAAGTCATGGCAACGGGGCCCGGCATGGGCGTGTGTCGTGATGACATGTGATGACATGTGATGACTGTTACGCCTAGGTTTGAGCGCCTTCACTGCGGGCAGATGGCCCACCTGGCCTTGGGCCGTCCATTTGGTGGCACAGCTGCAGCAGCACGGTGGGCAGACAGATGAAGTGTGCTGCAATGCCATGGCCACCGCATGCGAACGACAGGATCAATGGTGCGCTGCCCTTACACTGGTGGACAGGGAAGTCACAGCTGAATTCTTGGGAGACAAGAGCTGGAGACTTGCCAAACTGAGTCAGCTAGGGGAAAGGCCTAAGAGTTGGAATCTGGAGCCTGGTAGCGATTTGGAGGATCTGAGTTTCTCCAAATTAGTGGTTGGGATGTGGGCTGCTGCGTCCTTATCCGCGGAAGCACACGAAAGCAGCCAATTGTGTTGGGAGGCAATGTGTAGACTGACACGTGGTGATGCATCCCATCTAAGCGTGGACAACATGGCCAAGTTGGCATGGTCAATCAGCATGCTCCCACCATGCTCAGCAACACCTCTGGCACTGCACCGTCTTCAACGTGAGCTTGCGCAGCGGGCTGAACGCCTTCGATATGCGACTGAAACTGGAGAGGGCCAAGGATTTGTGCAAGCTTTTGTGGATGAAGCCTTAACCGTGTTGTGGTCCAGTTCGTTCGCAGGCTTTTTGTCTGACGCCGCAGCTCACTCTGTGTGGCACCTGCAATCTGCAACAGACCAGATTCATCCAGTAGAGTGGCTGGGTGTGCCAGACCCATCCAAATCATCCAGGATCGGTGAAGCGTATGTGGTTCAACTGCTGCCTGAGCAGCTGGTGATCTTCAAACCACCAGGGTGGGAGGTGGACTATGCCACAGCATCCACAGCCGCAGGGCTAGCAGAAGGCGTGCTGCGCAGTAAGCTTTCCGACTTCGTAAGAGCCTGGCTGACACCACGACAATTTCGTTGCAGGCAGAAGCTCCAACAAACTGAGGCATTTTGTTTGCCTATTTATTGGTTGATGCGACATGATACGAACCCGTTTCAAACAACAACAGGTGACAAAGGACCAATGTCAACAACGGTTTTAGTGCCACATCCATTTGCATCTAAAGGCTAGAGGACGTTTGGCAGAATTTGACAGAGCATGAGTTCATAGTCTTGAATAGTCTTGACTTCAAAATCTTCAAAGGGTCCCCAAAAAGAGACGGCTTAGTCGACTCATGGCGGGCCGGCCCAAGGAATGGTTTTTTGCATCGCCTGGACGTTCCGAGTTCCGGTCTTATTTTGGCCGCCACTGGCAGGAAGGCCTTCGATGATCTCAAGATGCAGATAGCCATGGGCAAAGTCAAGAGAGAACCTTCGACTGAAGAATTGACAGCACGATTTATCAACTTAGAGTAATTTTGGACCCTAAACCCAACTATTCATACGTATTCCAGGATCCAGGTGTTGTTGCAAAAGAATGGTGATGCTGGGCATGTTGCCTTTGACACCCCTCGGTTTTTGGATGCTACCACCTGCTGTGAGGACTACATGGTACTATGCCACGCCTGGCTTCCACCCAGGGACCAGGTGAATGCTCCGGTTCATTGGTTGGGACGGCTCCAGCATAGACCCAGCGAGGTCGCAATGGGCCGCTGCTCCCGGACCACGCTGACCGTTTCTCAGCACTTGAGCGCCCAAAGGGTCCATGGGGCCCACGCTTCCACAGCCTGCAGCTTTCTGAGGCTTCGCATCATCACAGGGCGGCGGCACCAAATTCGTTTGCACTTGGCTCACATTGGTGGCCCAGTGGTTGGGGATCGCAAATATACAGGTCTCCCATCACAGGTGGCAGATGCGCAATGGTGTGGTGAACATTGCCTTCACCGGTGTAGCTTGACTTTTTTCACTGCCAGCTTTGCCAACTCCAGTACTGCGCCTGCCAAACAGGTGCGGACCTTTGAGGAGATGCCAGCAAGGCTGAAGCGGGTCATATCCCACCTTCGTGTGGTGAAGGACTTTCGGGCGGAACATGGGTTGATGCGGAGGAAAACGGGCCGAAGCTATGCAGGCTGCACTCCAAACAATGACATAAGAAAATGCAAGAACTGTAGAAATGATTAGAACATATTCGAAATCTGTAATGATGTATCTATAATGATATGGAGAGGATTGCCGAGATGCTTCTAGACTAAAATAGTGGAATGAGTGGAGAATCAGGCCACATGATGCTTCCTGTGAGTGTCGTGCAGGCCGGCTTCCCCGGCTTGGAACGCCTGGTGCCACAGATCTGGTAGCGTCACCAGCCCTGGCTTCTCTGAGGTTGCCCTTGTAATGATACCGGAAAAGACCGATCTGTTAAACATGTTTAAGCCATCATTGGAAAACAGGAACAACGCCTCTATCCTTTCCAATTTTTGTGGTATAGTTGCAATACACAAATATCTCGAAACATATTTCCCACCATTTTTTGTGGCCCGAAGTCCCATGGATCGTTGCCTTCCCAGTGGCGCAAAGCTAACGTCCAGGTGCGGACCTCTCGGGCAACTTCTTTGGCGCAGCGGGGTTCCTTGCAGCCGCTGTGGCGATTGGTGACTGCAGGTGCAGTGGCCATGGAAAATCTGTTGATTTTGCAACTTGTCACGGCAGGAGCGTAGCCGTCATAGCTTAATTGAGTGTTCTGCAAATGGGGTACTCCCCACATCCACAAAACATACACAAACAATAGTCTTCGCACGCGGATGTGTGGAGAGTTTGATGTATTGGTGGTGGCCTTTTCCGCAGGCTGCGGTGGCTCACTCTTGCCAGCAATGGAAATCCACCCAGCGAGGGGAGCGACAAAGTGGAGATTCCGTTTTGCAGGTCGCCTGGGGAAATCCGGGGCCTCAGGGGTTCGGGTTGAAACTCTTGGCGGCTGTGAGAAGCAGGCACTTCCTGCGAATGTCCGATGGCGAGACCGAGAAGGAGGGCGTAGGCATTAAAAAAAACATTTTTAGGCATCAAAAAAAACATTTTTAGGCATCAAAAAAAACATTTTTAGGGATCAGGAAGGAAGGAAGGAAGGAAGGAAGGAACGAAGAAAGGAAGGAAGGAAGGAAGGAAGGAAGAAGGAAAGAAAGAAAGAAAGAAAGAAAGAAAGAAAGAAAGAAAGAAAGAAAGAAAGAAAGAAAGAATGAATGAATGAAAGAAAGAAAGAATGAAAGAAAGAAAGGTTCGACATAGGCTAGTGTCACCTGGGGCGCTCCAGCTTTTGGCGGTGACAGCTCTGTGGTCCGAGATGAGCTGAAGAGTTTCTAGTTGATTCTGTCATGAATTTTACTTCGTCCATGTTTTGCGGCCTGGAGCAAAGGGCTTGAACCCAACTTATGATTTGGTTACATAGGAAAACGGTGGCCTGAGCGTCATAAACATATATATATATGGGTGTTTTTGCATGTAGCATTGCCTGTGAAAACAGGTATTGTCGTTCTGCTTTGGGGGGAGGCGCTGCGCCCTCCCCCCAACCCCCCCCTCCGCTTTTTGATTCAAGCTACATCTTTATTACACTCTCTCTGCATGTGTGTATCTATATATATATATATGTTTTTGCATGTAGCATTGCCTATGAAACAGGTATTGTCGTTCTGCTTTGGGGGGGGCGCTGCGCCCTCCCCCCAACCCCCCTCCCGCTTTTTGATTCAAGCCACATTTTTGTCACAGTTCTTTGCATGTCTATAAATAAAAAAATAACTATATATATATATATTTGTGTGTTTTTGCATGTCGCATTTTGTTTCGAGCCACATGTTTATTACACTTCTCTGCGTGTGTGTGTATATATATATATAAATAGGTTTTTGCATGTAGCATTGCCTGTGACAACAGGTATTGTCGTTCTGCTTTGGGGGGGGCGCTGCGCCCTCCCCCCAACCAACCCCCCTTCCCGCTTTTTGATTCAAGCTACATCTTTATTACATCTCTCTGCATCTGTGTATATATATATATATACATAGACATGTTTTTGCATGTAGCATTGCCTGTGACAACAGGTATTGTCGTTCTGCTTTGGGGGGGGCGCTGCGCCCTCCCCCCAACCCCCCTCCCGCTTTTTGATTCAAGCCACATTTTTGTCACAGTTCTTTGCATGTCTATAAATAAAAAATAACTATATATATATATATTTGTGTGTGTTTTTGCATGTCGCATTTTGTTTCGAGCCACATGTTTATTACACTTCTCTGCGTGTGTGTGTATATATATAAATAGGTTTTTGCATGTAGCATTGCCTGTGACAACAGGTATTGTCGTTCTGCTTTGGGGGGGGCGCTGCTTGGGGGGAGGCGCTGCGCCCTCCCCCCAACCCCCCGCTCCCGCTTTTTGATTCAAGCTACATCTTTATTACATCTCTCTGCATCTGTGTATATATATATATATACATAGACATGTTTTTGCATGTAGCATTGCCTGTGAAAACAGGTGTTGTCGTTCTGCCCCCCCTCCCGCTTTTTGTTTCCGACCACATGTTTATTTCAATTTTCTGCATGTGTATATATATATATAGGTTTTTGCATGTAGCATTGCCTGTGAAAACAAGTATTGTCATTCTGCTTTGGGGGGAGGCGCTGCGCCCTCCCCCCCAATCCCCCCTCCCGCTTCTTGATTCAAGCCACATTTTTGTCACAGTTCTTTGCATGTCTATATATATATATACACATGTTTTTGCATGTAGCATTGCCTGTGAAAACAGGTGTTGTCGTTCTGCCCCCCCTCCCGCTCTTTTGATTCAAGCCACATGTTTGCAGATGCGAATGTGATCGATTTCTTTTTCTGGATAATATATATACACATATACATACAGATCATACAGGTTTCCACATGCGAATGTGATCAATTTCTTTTTCTGGACAATATATATATATACACACATATACATACAGATCATACAGGAACAATTTTTGATAGCAAAAACTATCCCTACATGAACCCTAGTCCAACCCGAGACTAACCCCCAAACAAGCATCATATATAGTTAATTAAAAACATAAGCAAATAGATAGAACAATTTTTAAAAATAAATAAATAAATGAATGAATGAAAGAATAAATGAATAAATGAATATGTGTATTTCTATGTATATTTGAAACTAGTTTTCAGTAAAAACTTGCAACTTGAACCAACCCCAAAATAGACCCTGAACCAAGCCGAAGTCTGAACTATCAATCAAGCAACCCTACCGGAAGCTGCAAAACCTCGTGTCTTTTGCTTCGTGGATGTCGCCGTGTCTATAGGGGAAGCTGCAAAACTTCGTGTCTTTTGCTTCGTGGATGTCGCCGTGTCTATAGGGGAAGCTGCAAAACCTCGTGTCTTTTGCTACGTGGATGTCGCGGTGTCTATAGGGGAAGCTGCAAAACCTCGTGTCTTTTGCTACGTGGATGTCGCCGTGTCTATAGGGGAAGCTGCAGCACCTCGTGTCTTTTGCTACGTGGATGTCGCCGTGTCTATAGGGGAAGCTGCAGCACCTCGTGTCTTTTGCTACGTGGATGTCGCGGTGTCTATAGGGGAAGCTGCAACACCTCGTGTCTTTTGCTGCGTGGATGCCGCGGTGTCTATAGGGGAAGCTGCAGCACCTCGTGTCTTTTGCTGCGTGGATGTCGCCGTGTCTATAGGGGAACTGCAAAACCTCGTGTCTTTTGCTACGTGGATATCGCCGTGTCTATAGGGGAAACTGCAAAACCTCGTGTCTTTTGCTACGTGGATGTCGCCGTGTCTATAGGGGAAGCTGCCCCTAGGGGAAGCTGCAGCACCTCGTGTCTTTTGCTACGTGGATGTCGCCGTGTCTATAGGGGAAGCTGCAACACCTCGTGTCTTTTGCTGCGTTGATGTCGCGGTGTCTATAGGGGAAGCTGCAACACCTCGTGTCTTTTGCTGCGTGGATGTCGCCGTGTCTATAGGGGAACCTGCATGCGCGCCCTCCTCCCGAAGCCCCCCCTCGCACTTTTTCCCCCAAAAGGCCAAGCATGCGCATTTGTAAACCTACTGTCCTTTTTGTCTTTTTTCATTAATGTTTTTTTTGATCCCTAAAAATGTTTTTTTTGATCTCGCCTGGAATGAGCGCAACCTCTACCCTTCTCACAAATAGTCTCCAAAAAATGTTTTTTTTGATGCCTAAAAATGTTTTTTTTGATCTCTCCAAAAAAATGTTTTTTTTGATGCCTAAAAATGTTTTTTTTTGATCCCTCTCCCGAGAAGGAGCCGTGCCATTTGTTTGAAGCATATGCAAGTGACTGCTTCTTGGGAGGCCAAGGTAGTAGCTTGTTTTGTGGCCTAGGTAGGTCTGGGTCAAGCAGATGGCTCAACTTGCTTGAAGGAGCGAGAGGCTTTGGCGCTGCATTCCAGGCGCTGGCAGGAATCCTCGTCATGTATGGGCAAAGGAAACATTAGGGCATTTTCAACTTAACAGTATTCCTCTTGATCTTGGTTCAGTCGATTCGGCAGAATGGGTAGTGACTGGTAGTAGAGCCGATGCTGGCAAGGCAGAATCCGCTGCAACTCTTCTTGGAGGGCCTGCTGGTGAAGCCTGCGAGCATTGTTGATGGGCATGAAGAATGATTAAGACCCGCCCTCTACAAGACAGATACAGCGCAGTGGCACCGCTGCAGCTGTATTGTCTGATTGGCCAAGGGTACAGTTCCAACAGATTCAAAAAGTAACATGTTAAATTATGTTAACATAATATGTTGCAAGATACGACCAATTCAAGATCAAGCGGCCCCAAGAGACCAACATTTCTTGGATAATTTGGATACCTGGCTCAGCCAGCGTAAGCAGGTCCTTCTTTGGTGGCTCAATGACACCGCGTAGCGGCGTAGGTGAACGACACCCTGGAAGAGTTGGACCTCAGCAACTGCGGGGTTGGCATCGATACCGCCTGGGTGCTACAGGAGGCACCATGGTCGGGATAGATAGATAGATAGATAGACAAATTATATAAAGATGCAAATTACATGCCTTCATTCATCGTTTGTTCGCTCGTTCGTTCATTCGTTCATGAAACAATATTTGTATATTCATTAACTTACACACATATATATATATAATTATATATCTACTAATCATCTTTTTTTTTAATAATATATATATATATATATATATAAATGTTATATATATATATATGTTATATATATATATAACATATATATGTTATATATATATATGTTATATATATATATGTTATATATATATGTCTATTCTTTATTTTTCAATGCTTCCCCCTTACACGCCTGACATTTACAAAATCCTCACTTATATATAATGTTTGTAGCAGGAAGAAATGCTCGATGCCAGGCACTCGCAGGACATACAAAGCTGCAGACCCTTCGGCTCTGTGAAAATCCACTGGGTGAAGCAGGCCATGCTCCACTTCTTTGAGAATGGCAACATCTTTGAGTTGAGAATGATCACAGAAAATCACTCATTTTAAATACTGTTTAAATGCAATATACATATCATATGTATATATATATATATATAGCACACACACACATATGTATATATATATATGTATACATATGAAAGATATACATTGATATACCGCATTTCTACTTCCGGGCAAACAGTGTGTCGGGGACCACAAGCTGCCGCAGGTTTGCGACACATCCTGCGGCTCCTCACCGAGATGGGGGATGTGGCAGGTGCTGGGACTTGGGACGACATTTAGGACATTTAAACTGATTTGTATACCCTCTGGTAAACTAACATAGCAATGGAAAATCACAATTTTTAATGGATAAATCCACTATAAAGGGCCATTTTCAATAGCTATGTTAAATTACCAGAGGGTACATACATTCAAGAACTACATGGTTAAAACATGGTCATAACATGGTCATTCTGGTTGGCGGTTTCAACATTAATTTCAACCATGTTAAGAGGTGTCCCTCTTTGGGATGACCCAAGGTTCGCATCGTTTTGACAAAGATATGGGAACAACTATTCAGCGCTGAAATGAAGACATTGACTCTGTAAGACCACTTCATGACCACTTCATATTATTGACTTACCATTGACTTGCCCTCAATATGATGGAACTTCAATTTGAAATCAATATACAGCACGCCCAGCCTTGTGACAGGTATCGATCTGTTTGGACATCGCGAAGCTGACATCAGATGTCCTCCTGTGGCCCGGTGTGTCAAGTGAACTTATGGAAGTGATGGTATGGTGCTGCTGAATGCTCCACAGATTCCTCTGTTTGGACCCAGGTGAAGTACCGTCATGCTCATCCTGCTGGAAATTACAAGCGCGCTCCTCACTCCTCTGACTTTATTAGCTAGTTCTACCAGCTTTAGTTGCACCTGATGAAGGTGCTGATCCAAACTCCAAACTCATGGAACTTGACTAGTCAAGTCGTTTACGAATCCACAGCGGTGCTGGGATCTTCCGTGCACTTGCACATACTGTACTCTGGTGGATTTCGAAGGCCGTACAGGATGATATGGAAAGGAAGTTTGAAGCCCGGCGTGTCGAGGCTTGACATGAGCCTCGTAGCAGATCGAGCCATCCTTCGCACCTTGCTGCGCCATGCGAGGGACCCCAAGTCATTGTGACTGCCTGGTACCCATGGTACGCTTGGTGTGACCAGATGGCAATGAAAGTCAACCATGTACAAGAGTAGACCAGTCAATTGTTCAAGCAGCATATATAAAGTTTTTTTTTAACTCTATGTTCCTCTACTGGCGGGGAGTGGGCAATGTCGGAAGAGCCTTTGTTGCAGCACAGTCTTCGACACAGGTGGGTTCCAAGTACTCTGACGCGCCCCAACGCAGGGATGCCCAGCAAACCATGGCTCTCATGCATGGTTTTGATGCTCAGTGTTGCTCAGTCTCCAGGGTTTGAGGGGGTGAAATTCATGGATTTGCAGAGTCTGCATCTTAGGCCACTTACGGTCACAGCCTCAGTGCTGTTGGTTTCTGCGTTGATGCTGAACTGCACCACTTTTTGAGCTACACCACTTTAAGCATCAGGGCAGATACCTCCAACCCGAAAGGAGTTTGGTCCAGACCAATTATGATTGATGGCATGCCCTAAAGCAGAAGCTGAAGGATGTTGCGTTTGACAATGCGCACGTTGCTTTTGGGCGTTGTGCTGCCAACGACTTAGGTTTGATCCTAAGAGTGCCAGGCGCAGCATGGCCCGCCGTGGCCGGGATCAGTAAAAGATTTCAGCCGCAGATGCTGGCATTTGTGTCTTCCAAGCCGGACCCACACAATCCTGAAATAGAATGAACATATATGAAAATACAATTATATACTGTAAATCTGTAAATTATTAAATAGACTGAAATAGAAACTCTTGTCTCCATGAGAGGGATCCAGTCATCCAGTCGTTTTTTTGAATATCCAGCACAGTTGGTCCCCGAGACATGATGAGACATTGCTCCACATTTGATGATTTTGATGCAGGCCCACGGAGCGAGATCCCCGAGGATTTTGGCTGGTGCCATGCTTTGGGACTTGCAACGTGAGTATTCCCAGCCGATCCGCTGGGGGCGTAGTGAGACTAAGGTCGTAAGGTTACCAGTTGACTCCGTCGTTAAAGCTAGAGAGTTCAAATCAAAGTCAATATCCACATCATAGTTCCTTTTTTGGCGTGGTATCTAAGGTGGTGGATTTTTGGAAATCGATTTTCGGTTCGTTCCTTTACCGCCGAACGCTGGCTGAGCTGAGGTGATGTACATGCCACCATTGTCAGAGGCCAGCCATCGTCGCGCCAAAGAGATCCTTGACGGATTCAGCAGGGTCGGAGAGGTCCTGCCAGGGTCCATATGATGAATCCTATGAATCTCTATGGCGATGGATCTCAATGAATGGCTATGAGTCTAACAATTGGGGAATCCAAAATAGTCATAAAACAGGTGAGTCTCGATGCCACCACCGCTACAAGTTGGATCAGAGAATCCACCAGGATGTGATCACAGCCTGTCACCGAGGGCCGAAGTGGAACAGTTGAGGGAGGCGGAGACCTCCGAGGGGGGGCCACGCAGGTCCTTCCAGGCTGGGTGTAGGAAGCAGTGGGATCCACCGGGCAAAAAGCTTCGCTTCGGAACTGGCTGGGGAACATTTTCTGCAGTCCCTGCGTGCCAAGATGTAGGGTTTCAGGATTTCAGCAACAGACATCAATAGACTGTGACTATAACAGACTTCTTTTCCATGATGTTTGGGCCGCCCAGTGACACTCTGATACCTATTTTGTACTCACATTTGTTTGCAGTACGCGCAGAGGGCATAGGTCATCAACGCCATGAAACGCCAATCTTCGCTGCGGAGATTGGGCATGTGGGGCCCGACAGGCACGCGGCAGCTTCGTTGGATCCAACGGACGCTTGGGTTCCTTTGATTCAGGCGCCTCTCATCGGTGAGTAGAGAGAGTGATTGTTTTCCTTCCCCCCGGGCAGATCCAAGAATCACCCCCACTTGAAGATATGGTCTTGTATTACAACACTTGCTTGAGGTTTCGTGCCCAAATGTATCACGCCATTCTTGGCTCAACTTTGGACTTGGAGTGTTTGGCACATTTATACACATTGAACAATGGTGAATCATGACCGCTCAGCGAGCTGTCAGCTGTTTCTGGCTATGCAATACTGGTTCTATGGTGGGTCTATCATCCTGACGGCTTGAGGCGACGATGTTTACGTTTGGAAGCTCAGTGATTCATGTGTGTTCACTTATGATGGATTATCAATTATCAATAACTATCATTAACTATCATTAACTATCATTAACTATCATTACCTCATATTCATCAAGCGCAGAGCTAAGCTAAGTATTGATGGCGTACAACAACTCAGCCAAGGCTCCCCGGAAATCACGAGTCCGAGCCTGGCACCTGGAATCGGAATTCGGACTCGGGTCATTTTGGGTGGGTCCGGCGTTTTTTTTTCGTGGAGAGGGAGGAAGGTCTAGAAAATAACCGCCATAATTAATGTTTACAGTTTACAATATGAATCAACGTAAAATCATAAGAATCCTCCTCCTCCTCATCCCCATCACCACCACCACCACCATCATCATCATCATCACCATCACCACCGCCGCCGCCACCACCACCATCATCAGCATCATTAGCATCATTAGCATCATTAGCATCATTAGCATCATTAGCATCATTAGCATCATTAGCATTAGCATCATCATGATCATCATGATCATCATCATGATCATCATCATGATCATCATCATGATCATCATCATGATCATCATCAGGATCATCATCATGATCATCATCATGATCATGATCATCATCATGATCATCATCATGATCATCATCATCATCACCATCATCATCATCATGATCATCATCATCGTCATCGTCATCGTCATTGTCGTGATTTTTTGGTCAATGATATAGACCAAAATAACCGTAAATAAACAATCACAAAGTAAACAAGTACATATATGTACATATGAGATAATATATATATATAAATATTGATACCGACACAAGACGACACACGTCATGTCAATGACATAGACCTACCGCAAATAAACGAGCAAAGTAACCGAGTACTGTACATATCACGAATGTATTGATCCCAAATCCAAGAGATTCAACATCTTGACTTGGCAATTTGATGGTCTCAGGTGTCGCCAATGTCCTATGGCACTGGTCATCATGGCAGCTTAAGTATGTCGTTTGAAGGACGGACCAGGGGATTTAACACCAATTCGAACAGTAACTTTTGAATGATAGCCAGCTGTGATGATGTCCTTCTGTGGTCCGGCTTTAACTTTTGCTTTGACTCTCAGACGTTGAAGACCGACCATTGGAAACAGCGTGTCACTTTGACTGTGTGCCCTCAGGACTGCTGCCAATGACGAAGGAAAAAACACAGGTTGAGGATAGCCTGTTTGCTTGTCCTGGATGGTTGGGCTGCGAGGCTGATCTTCACATCAGGTGGAAAATGGGGAACATGGTAGCATTTGCTTGGCCAAGAGTCTGCCAGTGAAGCTATTTCTACACAGTATCGCGATGTATCGCGCCTTGTTGCAGGAAACTGAAGGGAGGAACTGGTGAACATGTTGCCACCCTTTGAACCAATTTCAGTATGGGGTGTGCCTTGATCGTTTGCGCAGAAACACTATTTTCTGAGCCGCTTAAACCAGGAGAAGCCTCAAATCCAACCTGGGTTAGCAGGCAGGCATATGGAGATGCCCGAGAAGAAAGCTTCTTCCGTTTCATGGCAAGTTGGATTCTTTATTTGTGCTATAGCATGCAGCAAATCCAGAGAGCACCAACACTTCTCCCCTGTAGCCTAAAACTTCCTGAAATCTTCCTAAATTGATTGGCAAAACCTTATTCAATCATCTCTCCCCCTGAGAGCCACTTTTTTTGGGTCTTCGGAACCTTGGCAGGAACACCTGAAGGCGATTGGATCGAGGTGCATGAGCTGCTACAGGAGAGCTTCCCAACCTCGGTCATTGTCGTCATCCTGATCCAGATGATCCCGATCCTGATCATACATCCTATAGTTACAATTAAGAGCACAATATTCTTTGAATTATATATATATATATACATTTATATATATATATACATTTATATATATATATACACATTATATATATAATATACGCATTACTATTGAACGACTTATCATGATTGTTGCCGGTTCTATCACTAATGCTATTAAATATTGCTGATGATGATGATGATGATGATGATCATGATGATCATGATGATCATGATGATCACGGCGCTATAGGACTGCCGAGTCAAGGTGCCACCTGCGGGAGGGATTGTCGTGGGATTCCTTATGCTCCTGGGGGCCTCTATGGCTTGATCATTGAGGTATGTTGAGGTATGTCTTTGCATATGCTGTATATGTGTATTGTTCATGGGTGTATCTGTATTGGTATTTCCGTATGCATGCATCTACATACGGCCAGACAGAATATGAATGTAGGCATGTACTTCAGTTATTCAAAAGAATGTGGCGCATGAACCCTTGGTCCTGAGACCCATGGTGAGGTAAGTTCCGCCAGATTCCAGCTCATCAAGCAAGCCTTCCTGGCGAGCGTCACCGATGAGGAGATGATCAGGGAAACAAGTGCACCCTATTCCCTTGGGCCCTTGGACTCATTGGAGGGGTCCATTCAGTGTGAGATGGTTCCATGGTGCTAGTTGGAGAGGAGCGCTTCCGCTTCGCTCGCGCGTTGGCCAAAGAGCTCTGGTGCAATCAGCTGCAGGTGTGGAATTTGGTGGAGAGTCGAGTAGAACAGGCCTCAGCTGAGACAAATGATGTAGGTCAGGCTTGTCAGGGCAGGGCCGCCAGGTGCAGATTTTCAGATATGTAAGAGTCGGCTTTGTTGCAATCCTGTTTGCAGAAATCTATTCTGAATGCGCGGGCGGCTGAACCTTGAGGCTGGCATTGCTGAAGTCTCAGTAGATTCAACCTCCGCTTAGGAACTGGCTACCGAGCTGGTGTGCCTCCTGTTTCCATGCATCAGAAGCCGGGCGCCGCAGTCTCCGGAACCCACTGCGAACCAGGACGACCAGGACTAGTGCGTTCCAGCGGTTCAATGCGAGTACTTACAATATCTTATAATAGTATCTTTCAATCGACATTTGATTCTTCTAAACTATTCCAAATGGGTCGAGAGTCAAGAGCGAGAGAGAGAGAGCGAGAGAGAGAGAGAGAGAGTGGGGTACCTCGTCGCATGCCTTTAAACGAGAAACCGTGTTGCCGCGCAAGTGGGGGCAGTAGCAAGGTCGGAAGCATCAGCTTGCCTTGCTCCAGCAAGTGGAACCTGCAAAAGCAAAAAAGGCCGCCTGTTGGGGTGACTGTGGTTTGCCGCTGCTTGCCGAAGGGTGATTGGATTGTGACCTAGCTTACGTGCTGCAACTCGCTATTGAAGCTGCTCAAGAATGCAAAGCGAAGTGGCTTCCAATCATTCACCAATGTCTCTCTTCTAATGCATTACGTGCTTTGCGAGTGTCACATTAGTCTTGAGAGTCAGTCGTGGGCACGTTCCAGTTTCGCAAGGTGGGGGACTCGCTTCGCGGCTTACTCTGGTTCCAAGATGCCAACCCAACTGGTAGAGCCCCGACAGCAGTGGCGGGAGCTTGTTTGAGCCTGACTATTGAAGCCCTGAAACTACCTTTTTTATCCTTTTTTCTCTCCCCGCTGTGGGACAATGACGGAACCAATTTCGGACTGTACAGGACTGTATAGGACTCCGAAGCTTTGTTTCAACCAACCTTGTCTTGGGTTCCTCTTGGCTCGATTTCCGCTCTTTGGGTTCGAAGTCAAGGGCCCATTCTGATTGAACAAATCTCTGATACCTGCCGTCAGTGTGCCATCAAAATTGAAAGTCTTATGCCATGATGCGTCCACCGACCTGGTCTGAGAGGTTACAACTTGGACTTGTCAGCGCCACCGGACTATGCCCTGGCAGCTCCTCGGTGAAAAACAACTCGGAATTGGAAGACAAGGCTTCCCGGGATGGCCCTTGGTGGAAGATCTCAGAGGATTTTCTTTGTCTCTTTAGGTACAGATTACATTTGGTCATGCTTTGCCAAGGAAGCCTGCTTGCTGGTCAATGCATGGGAATCAGAATCCGCCCGCTGTGTTTGCAACTCAGTCAGATCTCCGTGCAACCAATTCTCATTCTACGTGGCCTTAACCTGCCCAAACCGCTTCAAACTATATGAAGACAATGAGGCTGGCAGACCTGATCTATCTCAATCAGGAACGGTGTGGTGGGGGAAACTTGCCTTCTCTATGATATCAATGATTGATGTTCAGACTTAGAATCCCCCTTGACTGTACCTGTATGGAATGGAAGAACCCACTCCCCGTATGAAATGGAAAAACCAACGTCATTTCATACACGGCCCATCTTGGAAAACGGGGCAAAAAACCCTTAAATTTTGGTGCCATGTTGCACCCCTCCATTTCATACAAAACGATGGTAATTCCATTGTATACAGCTGCATTTTTCTTTGGAATCATTAGTCCCAAAATCGGCATTTCCATAATATACATGTTGTTTGCTTTACTGTTTTTAATCATTCTTATGTGGTCCTGGAATACGGCTACCATAATATACAAGTAATAAGGTAGGATGGAGAAACGTTAAAACTTAATCAGTGTTGATGTATCAATTATGTAGCCTTCCATTTCATACAACATACATATCACTAGCTGCCTTTGTGATCCATTTCATAAAAAAATATTAAAACATGAAATGATTTAAGTCGATGTCACGACGTCCCCCCCTGCGGTATTTTCTGCATGGCATTGGCTCAGTTATGCTCCTGCGGGGCACATTTCTGTGCCATAATTTTATCTTAGAATATCTTAAGATACCTTAAAATGACCCCCTCAAAAAAACAACCAATTCCATAATATACAAGTCAAATTTTCTTGGTTTCAAGAGTTCATTTCTTTGCCATTTCCATAACATACTGGCGAAGCATTTCTTTGCATATCCGGCCTGCTAGGTAGTACAATGGTGGTATTCCATAGTATATAAGACCAAAAAAGGATCCATTCTATACAAATATTACTGGACCCAACCATTACATAAACCAGTTTTTTATGGAATGGTGGGGCACGGGTTCCTACCAATCAATCAAGGGGGATGACTTAGATATGTTTAGTAGGTTTTTTGCTTCCCCAAATCTCTCAAAAGGTGGCAGTTTCTGTCACATTTTTTTTGGCTTCCTTCATCACTTCACAAAAGTTTAGCGGGTCTTCGAATGGAGACACCACAATACGAAGATTACGCAGTCGATTTCAGTCCAACTGTCAGCTTTCTAGGGCCCCGAATCTCGAAGGATGTGGTAGGAGGAGTTGATGCAGGCGACCAGCAGCCCCCAAAATATCCAAAATGCAGTACCCTCCATCTATCCATCTATCTCTTAGCCATTTTTTTGCAATTTTTAGCCTCCATCCACAACTTTGAAGGACTCTCCGCACCCCCATGGCTTTGTGCAGGCAATGGAGAGATGATTCGCAACGAGGTCAGCTTGAGATCTTTGCGAGGGCGCAAGCTTTGAATGACTAGAGCACTCACACCTTTCCCTTCGATCGTTTTATATTCCAAGAAGAACTCCAGACTCGTACGTTTGATAATTTCGCAGATCAGTGGAGCAGCCAGTGATTTGTCGGGTGATCCGGAAGGCATACAACGATACACCCTTCGTCTACTCGAAGGACGTCCCTGTCGTGTTTTATCGCCCACATGGCGACACTTCCGTTGAAAAATGGCAGGACTGGCGCCTTCCTAGTCGAGGCTGGTTTCGTTTCGACTACTCCTCCACGCGCCGGCCACCACCAGACGCAACCAGTACCACGGAGGTCTCTGATGCTTGGCTGCCTCAAGCCGGCTGGGAGCCGTGGTCCATGGAATTTTCAGTAATCCAACCACTCCAGGCGCTTGCTAACCTGCTGCAGATTGCGATGGTCAAAAGTCGCTGTTTCAATGCGGAGAATCGCAAAATTGCCGCATTATCTCATGGTGCTGGCCTGGCATGGAAAGATCCCGAAAGTGTCAACCTCCCGTGGCCATGACTTTCTTTGGTGGGTTCTGACATTCCCGCCCTTTCTTATACACGTCCTACATAGGCCAACAAAAACTGTAATGAAGGCGTTGGTGTTGTATGAATATAACTTATAACTCTCGGTGATTGAACATCACTAACTTAAACTTACAGTCACCGCCGCCATTTCAGGAAATCACCCGGCTGTTGAGAAACAAGGACCTGTGCAAAAGATGGGTCTCGTCTCGCTTCGCAGCGAGATTTCTTCTCAGTCGTGTATACCCAGCCGCTGCTTTTCATATCAAATAAATTTTGTACTGGTGGTTCCAAGGAGTTGATTGGGCTACTTTTAAGGCGCCCTGGTCTCCATAGGTGCTTCAATTTTCCACGCAGAACAGGAGCTGAGCAGCCGCTCCAGACTGGAAGCCTTGCGCGCTGCCAGCGTTTGGGGAACTCAGGGAGTAGCTGAGTCAGCTGAGTAGCTGTATGTAGCTGTATTTTTTCTTATCAGATTAGGGAGATAGAATGATATAGAAGGGATGAACTTGGGATGGAATTTCCTCTGGCAACTGAATAGTGGCCAAGGTGCACATTTTCATTTCGAGCAATCAGTGCAGGGCGTTGGTTCAGTGTGATGCCCAGCACAAGATTGGCACCACTGTGGCTCCATGGACATGGCAGGGCTTGGATCTCTGCTAGACTGGAGCTATCGCAGTGAAAAACTGATTCATTCTGCAGATTTGTGAGGTGAAATTCGGGATGTGTTTCCGGGAGTCATTCGCGAACCTGACATACGCTGACAATCGCTGACACATTTTTTTTGTCAACGGCCAACGGCTCTTGCAGACTGCGCAAGTGCCAGACATTGTCACATTGTAGTTTATGGACGTGTGTGTGTGTGTGCAATTATATAACTGGAGAGCATAGAAGCATCATCAACCACGTGTTACGATGATGCTGGTGTCCTTGCGTTTCTTTCTGTTGCTTTTTCGCTGAGGTGTTTCCCAGCTGCAGTCGAGTGCTCGCCCAGGGCCCAGACCAGGGCCCAGAGCATGGTTACCCTTGGATACCCTTGGATGATTAGCAGTTGATCACGGGCACCATCAGCATATATCAGCACCATCCAGACCATCCAGCTGTACAAGGTCTCCGGAAGCCATCAACAGTGGTCTTGACGAGTCCCCTGATCGGCAAGAGGCGCTGTGTATCCTCCACACCCGGGTGGTGGACCGGGAGAGCACCTTGGCTTATTGTGGGGAGGGTTGCGATGCTTCAGTAGGTTCAGCCAGTTCATCTTTATTCAAGCGCTTCTTCATGATTCAGACGGACTGCTCAAACATGGGTAGAAAACTGGGCCCACGGCCCACGGCTGGCAATTTGATGAGGAATGCTTGGGCCGGAGGTCTTGTATTCGCCGTGCTTGGCTCAGCTTCGTATCTTCTTGTGAATGATGTTGAAACATGTTGAACCAATTCCTGACCCAAAAGCCTTCTATGACTCAGCAAGTTCATTTTTCATATGCGCGCAACGTTGGCGCGATGCAGAGAGACGCCAGGAGGTACTGGAAGCTAGAACCGCACAAACACGTCATGTTCATCTTTTCCCTTGCTCTATATCATTCTATATCTCATTACACCGTATTGTATCCTCATTAGAACCCCGTAGCATATTCAATATATCCCCTGGATGCCTGGTCTTTGAGCTTGCACGCTCAAAAGCTGCAGGGTGGTGGTGTCTCAGATTGGCATGACCAATTCCGGTGGGGCCGTGCGAGTGCGTGGCGGGATGTTCAAGACCGGGGACTTGGAGATGAAAACCGCAGAGGTGTCACTGGCCTCAAGGGATGGATGATGGGATGGGACGGTTTGGGTGACATCCAAATTGCATTTTCCACTAATTTTAGACGGTTCCTGTAGTCATAATGTGTAATGATATGTTTTTTAGGCAAGTTGTCATGATCTTCAACTGGCATATCACCCAGGCATCGAGCAGATTGGCGAATTGATTGAAAGAGAGGGGTGGGATGATGGTGATGTCACTAACTACAATGTGTCAATCAACCGTACTGGAACACGCCCGTAGAGTTCTTCAGTGCGATCCCAGCTTTCTCGCGTCTTAGGCAACTCCCTCCCGTTGCTTGGGGCTCAGATGGTATATCTCGTGCCCCCTTAAGAATTTGATCCGGCAATATCCAACCACGGATTTGTCTGTTTTCAAGTGAAGCCAAATGGGTGACAACGGTGACAACGATTTTGCATATTGATTTTGATACAAGTCGTATAAGTCGTCGTGTGCTGGAGGAGTCTGTAGGAGATAGGTGCCTTGCGCATCCTTGCGCGATGTGTGCCACGCTTCGAGGCCTCTGGTGATGGTGGGTCTGGCACCCAGATGTGGCAACACCGGCAACACCATCAAACTCCCTCAACAAAACAAGTGCCCTTGGCTGAGGCACAGCCAAAATTCCGCTGAGCAAGGGCCTCGGGGCCTCGGAGTTCGTCAGTTCGGGTTAGAGATGGCCATTGCCATGGCAGAATACCTAGGGCCTTGAAGGGCCCCATAGCCTACATAGCCCCATAGCTGATGCATCTCGGAATCCCATGCCGGATATTTGAGGAGTTTTCTTCAAAAGTTTGTGTTACACTTGCTCAAACTTTGGGAATTAGCTGCCTAGCTGACGTTGGCCGAAGGGGAAAAATTGTTTCAGTTTCAGTTTGTTTCTGTGTTCCTGTTCTCACTCTGCAAACCTCTGCAGTTACTTTGTTCTATAGATTCTTTCATGCTGGGAATGCTGAACTGCTGCTACATCCTTTAGAACTTAGATGAGCTATATGCTATATCGGAATACATTGGCTATATTATATGACTGTCCGGGTCAGGTTTTCCACTTGGATATGCTTGGATATCATATCGAAGCTTCAACTCATTAAGTCATGGCGCTTTTGGGCCCCACCCCCACCACACAGTGGGATGATGTCTCAGGGAGCGGAGGGATCAAAACTTCAAGCTGGCGCACGATCCGCCGGGCGGCCTGATCTCCTCAGCTTGGTAGGATCAACGCTTGCCCCAATAGGGCTCAATTTCAAAAAGACTTGAAGATGCAGAATCTGGCAGAATCTGGCAGACATATGGTCAATTATGATCCTATCTTTCTTTGTTTTTTTTGTTGTTGTCCGTTCCATCGTCGTATTCCTTTTTACCCAGGGGCATTTAAGGATGGGCTATCGCTGGGTCCGCGTCCACGATGCTTGATGCTTGATACCATGACCCACCCAGGAATTCAGCCTACTTCAACTTCCTGATTGTCTTCAAGGCCAATCTTCGGTCAAAATAATGTAGGGTCTGTAGGGCTGGCACAGTGTTTTTCTAGATCTGCAAAGTTGGACGGATATTAAAGACGCGCACCCTTTGCCTCAGGAGCAGGATGTTTTGGTCCTATATCGCCGGACTGGACCCAAGGTGGTTGAGACAGGAGGCATTTGAGTCCCACCAAGATCACTAAGAAGATATCCCAGGGAAACACATTAAACTCTTCATGGTTGAAGGCTGCAGCGGCTATATATGTCGTGTATATACTCTCGCTCAGTTCCAAGCTGATGATTTCATGGCCACACTGGTATGCTTCCTTCAAAGAGTTTCTCAAAAACCCGGCCCTTAAAGAGATTCCAAATGCTGATCCATCATCAATCTGAGGTTGGGAGTTCTGCATTTGTTGAACCCCTACAAGCCGGAGGTTTTGCGAATGTCTAGTCCTGATGCTGCACCTTTCGTCCCAGCAGCAACCAAGTGATGCGTTGCGGGATTTTTGTGGCATGTTTTTTTTTGAACCTAGGATCCGTGATTCGTGGGTGTAGCCACCCCCTAGTCAAATAATTTCAAAAATAGAAGAGTATACAACATGGGATCACCATTTCAGAGATCCTGGCATCATCAGGCCTGTGAATCTGGACATCTTCGAGCAGCACCGTGTGGTGGACTTTTTGGTCCAGCTGGCGACACTGGAAACGGGCAGTTGGCTTCTCAGTGGTTGGAGCTAGGCTAGGCCTAGGCCGGGCTTTGTTGAGCTGCAGATCTTGGAGATCATGGCAATTCTCGTTAACCATCCAGTTTTGGGGTGCGAATCTTTGAGCTTAAACTGAGTTTGATTGCGCCTCACCCATGAGAGCTGAAAGATGCTGAAGGCTATGGAGGTAGAATGCCAAGGATCTCAAAAACCTCTGCAGGACCAACTCGTATGCCCTTGCCATCCCCTGACTGAAAAAGAAAGTAACACACTCTTTCCACTAGAAATCAAACCGACCCATGTCAAACATTGTCAAACTATATTTACTCGCTCATTCTCCTGATCCCAAATAATTCCTTAAAGCGAACCTGGAGATCAGGTCGCGTGCTTTGCTGGCTTGATGGCACTCAGGTCCCCCAGGGATGGTGTTTCTGCGGGATGGCAGTCCCACACTTTTTACAGATAATTATTATGAACATGTACTGTATAAAATTGTATATCAATATACTGTGTATATATATATATATGCACATGTGTCACATGAACGTTGGGCCAAGGTCGAGTGCACGCATACAGGGGTGTAGACCGGGGTAGACATAATGTATGTACAAAGGTAAGCCCGGAGCTGGTCCACTAGAAAAGCCAGGGGCGTCACTGCCGTTACACTGAATCCATCTCAGACCTTTCAAACGGAGTGCAAGAGTATGGAAGCATCTTGCACTTAACAGCTGCAGCTGCAGGTGTGTGTTCCAGCCTCCTGGGGTGACAAAGGAGTACCTCGCACCAATGCCCTGCTGACAGTTTGGGTGCCCAGGGCAAGCAGCTTCAACAAAAACAATGGGGACCTTCGCACTGGCAGAATCGCACTTGCAGAATGGATCTCTGATTTTGCTCAGATGGATCACAGGAAAAACTGCATTTAAACTTTAAGATTCATGCATTAAATATAGCTAAGGGGCCATGTTTTGATATGTTTTGAGGATCAAGTGAATGCCAACAACTGATGTCTCCACGCAAAATCCTTCTACTAGTAACAAATACCAGTCATGTTTTGTGATTTCCATGCCATCTTCAACGCCGCAGTGCCCAGGTCTCCTACGAGGGGCATAACAGCTCCTTCGCCTCGCGGCAGGTGCCCCGTTTCAGCCCTTTCTATTCCTGAAGAGACTTGGTAGTGGGCACTTCACTAAGGGTCAAATCTTCTTTCAAAAGTCAGCAACATTATTGGTGCCATGGGGGGACCACATGGGATCGCCATCAGCCCATCAGCTTGTTTTCTAGGCCTTGGCAGATCAATTCTGCATTGGATTTTGGTCCAACCTGCAGAAGGCGTAGGCACCACGTGCTTTGTACAGCTGAAGGTGTGAAGTGTGGCAAGCTTCCAGTGCTTGCTGAAGTCCTTTAGGCAACTGGGCAAGCGAAATGGAGTTCAAATAGCATATGCAGGGAGATGGGCGTTTGTTTCGCAGTTGTTTTTCGGACAGATGGACTTAGCTGCATTGCTCTGTCCTTGCCCAGTTGGTGACAACTAACAATACCTGATGGATCCTTAAGAGGCCCAGTCAGGTGGCAACTGCTAAAATGGCAGGGCCAGCAGTGGAGAAGATTAGCAAGAGTGAAAAGGTTTCATGGCGCACAGTCTGAAGCTTAGGCCTTGAGATGGAATTATTCAGCTATGTTGGGTACAGAAGCGCGCTTTCCCCGTAGTAGGTGGAAGCGCTGAGATCTCAGTCTCACCTCTCTCTCTCTCTCTATCTCTTTGTCTCTGCCTCTGCCTTTGTCTCGAACATTTTTGTGTTCTCACATTCCTGTCTTCAGACAAATAGCGCGTCCGCGGGCTTTGGCCTAGACGGGTAGTGGGCAGCGGGATTGCCTACAAAGAGAGGCCCCAATGCCGCCCTGAAAGGCCTGGGTCCGGGTCCGGCTTGACTCTTTGAATGTCAAGTTTATCTTGAGATTGCTAAATTGCTCACATGTTTGTTTTCATGATTTTCTACTTCTCCCAGGATAGAAGTACTGGATTTAGGCCAAGTTTCAATCTGCAGTTGAGACCACAACCCTTCAGTATTCATCCAAATTCCTGCCATTTAAAGAATATACCGATATACCTTTCTTATCGTTTCTTGAATGTTTGAAATTGCTTCATGTTCTTCATAAATGTGGGCACAAAAGGGCATCATGCCAAACAGCTTTGGATACATCAACGCAGAAGCAGAATCGATACAGGCTGGCTTTGGCTGCCAGCCTTGGCGCCCATGTCATTCCCTGATACTCTCTCACAGAGCCTGTGCCCAAGGGGTGCCAAAAAGCTTGGTTCTCACAGACAGCATTGCATTCGCATGCCCTCGAAAGCCATGTGTTACAGGATTATTTGGCAATCTTCCAAGGTGAGGCGGAATGAAATTTAGGAAGTGAACTGGACAGAGACCTAGGACCTGGTTGTCTTTCAATGAATCAGAATCTAAACCTGAGGCTCCTTATTGGACGGAGAGTGTTCGCATTGTGCCTTGAGCGGAACAGAGGCGAGCAGTGGGCGCATATGATTAGGGATTTAGGTGGACTGTGCCAAGGAGTCATCAATCATCATCACAAGCGGCATGCGCCAAGTGTCTCCCCATGGATGTTTGTTCATTCCTTGGTCCCAGACCCACTGTGGCCCCTTTGGCCCCTTTGGCCTTTTCCAGGTTCATGCTAGCCGTGATACCACCGCACCACCGTCAGGCAGGGTCGGAGGTGTTTCATTCCCATCAGTCTTGGAGGGCTGTTGAGAGTGGTATGCCTGGTATGATACATTCTTGAACTATTGTGCAGCTATTCTGTTTGTCCAAGGGTGTGGGGATGGCGGGGGAAGAGAGCAAATTTATGGATGCGTCTCCTGTGACTCCCAGGACGTGTTTGAAGGTGCCAAGATAGTCCTACTTGTACGTTCGTACTGAAGCTGCTCCTCAACATCCTTTGCCCACTGTGGCTCACAGCTTTTGCTTGTCACTATGGATGCCTAAAGCTATCCAAATCATTACTAATGATTCCTGCAAGTTGTTGATGATGCCTACATACTGGAACTATCATCTTACGACAAGAAGAAGCCGGCCAGGATTCAAACAGCTAAGCATGTTGGAGTAGCCTGTGCAAGGTGCTTCTTACCATAGCCCACACTGTCACACTCCTTGCTCCATGTTTGTTTCCACAGGGTTGATCTGATCGGCCGCTGCGCCACGAATCCTGGATGCTTCCCACACCCTCGGAGACATGGCGATCGTACCTGAGCTTGTCATGTGAAACTTTCCAGTTTGACGATACCCCAAACAGAGCTGTAATTGGTGCCCCGAACAGGCTGGAGTAGCCTGGAAACCAAAATCGGACCCCCTTCACTTCCTAAAAGAGGTGATAAAATTGATGAAAGTGAAAAGTTGATACCAGCTGCGGCATCATGGGGCATCGACAGTTGCTTCGAGTCGCTTCCAAGGTGCAGCTCGTCCGATGAGGGTCCTGAAGGCGGAAATGGGCCAAAGCATGGGATCCAATGGGATCCTATAAATCGCTATAGCCAAAGCATGCCAAAGCCAGGTCATCGATGTGAAGACAAGGTCTAAGACTCTCCCTGACCATCCTGACCCGTATAGATGGCGGTTTGAACAATCCCAAAAATATCCAAAACTATGCAATAAACATCCGCGTGGCATACCCAACGGGGCCACTGAGAAATTCGAAAGCCATGTTGGAAGAATGTAAGGGTAATTAATTGTAATTAATGGTATGTAACGATGTAGATCTGGATTTGCTGAGGGATTCTTTTCCATCAGCACTGCCAACTGCTGGGTGGTTTGAACATCCTGCGGTTTGATGGCCATCAGCATCGCAGGCCTCGCAAAGTCTCAGAAGACCTTGGCCAATGCGTGCGGCCGCCAGTGCAGAAAGTGCTGCCTCACAGGAACTCAAGCTTTCGAGATGTTTCGAGGGTTGATTTGGCTGTTGGGCTTGCTTTGTGGTGGTTTGAGGTCAACGTGTCTCTTGCAGAAGCTTGGCAGCAGTTGTGCGACCAGACTTGTGAAGAGAACGCGATGGTGTACAAAGCCGTTGGACATTTTGCAACGGTATTCGCATTATGGTTTCCAATGTCAAATGTGGAATTATGGAATCCATAATCTCGCAGAACGTTCCAGGCTTGACACCTGCCACTAAGACCTTCTTTGGATCACTTGGATCCTAAGGCTTGCACGTTTTGTGCAACACCTCGATGAGTGTGACGAGGTGATTTTGTGATTTGGGAATCCATGGCTGTCATGGCTGTGGCATTCCAAGATCATACCCTGTTTGAACATGTTGACATCAGTTGACGTTCATGTCTTCCAGTCTTGTGTGTACGCAACAGATCGTCAAGCACTCTGCAGTCATTCCTCGGTGTTTCATGCATTCTTATGTAATTTTATGTGTATAGTCAGATTTGACGGTGCAGTGTACAAAGACGCACAATGGGACGGTCACTGGGAATTTTGGGATGAAGGAAGTCGCAGATGAAGACGGAGGCCTCGCACATGCGCTAGATGCAATATCCAGCTTGAAGACTGGGGGTCGCCTACTCAGAGTGGGATGCATTTGAAGCCTGTCCTTACTCGTAGCAGCTATAGCACAAAATCACTACAAAATCCATGATAGGTTCGCACTTTCAAAACCTGACTGTGGCCTCCTTCTGTCACAGAAGGGAGGCTTTATCTACATCCTATCCTATCCCCCAGCAGGATTTCGGCTTTGTTCTTTTGGAAGTCTCACATCATCTACTATTGGATGACTTCAAGATTTCCACCCCAACAGGGATGATGATCATGAATCATAATTAACTACACAACAAATACACAAACGGACAATCGCGCAGACACACCACATATAGATGGATGGATGGATGGACGGACGGACGGACGGATGGATGGATGGATGTGTAAATATATATATATAGATACATACATACATACATATATATATATATATATGTATAATATTATGTGTATGTATCTTTATATATATATATTATGTACATATATAACATATGTTATATGTGTATATATATATATATGCGTATATTTATATGTTATATATATATATATATTAACGTGTGTGTGTGTGTACCATCTGAATAGATGTAAAACTTCTTATCTTGCAGGGGGTCACCGGGGTCCCGGGGGGGTCGGTGACCAACGAAGACACCTCCCCGGGACCCGTGTAAACGTACCTGCGGGACTGTGGTGGTGCACCTGGGCGCATTTAAGTCGCAGCTGGTGGCCACCACAGTCCCATATATATATATATATGTTTTTCATTTCTTGTGTTAGGTTTTACGGGGGTGTTTCTGCACGTCTGATGCATTCCACATCAGCAATTCGCAATGTTGTTTCTGAGCAAGTGTGTCATTCCTGCTGTTTACGTCAAGTTGGCAGGAACCCTTCGGGGAAAGCCTTTCCAGGCTAACAATTGACAGTAAATCGATGTCTGAATTTACACTTTTGAATTAGTAATTCGTTTAAGTAAAGTGAACTGCTGGCCTTTTTTCGATTCTCACCTTGTCGAAGTCGTCTGGTTGAACAACTGGCCGCTGTACTGGGCCTCTTTTCTTTTTCGCAGAATTGCATAGTTGGAAGCCACGTTAACATCCGTTTTTTCAACGTTGCTCAAGAGAGTACGGAACTCGACATTTCCACTTGACATGTGACCATGTGAAGGCTTCAGGACATTCCTGCAGGTGTGGTGTTTTTTCTTTTTATGGTCGTTGGTGAGGTTCAATTGTGCACCTAATTCACTTGAATACTGACAGCCGTCGATGGGGTTGAAATGAAAGCCGAGGGCCTTTGAGCCTTATCACGAATACTGCACGCGTTGTGGTTGCATCATTTCATTAACTAGTTCCCCATGGGTCCCTTTTTTCATGTGTTCCTGCGTTCTCCTCTCTCCAGGTAGGTTGGGTCCTGCGCGTGCCGAGGTAGGCGTAGGTTTTCGCCGTGTTAGGTTGGTTCAGGCGCTTCCGTCCTTCCCCACCCTCCGCTGGTCTTGTTCCGTTGTCCGTCGGCCTCCGCTTTTCTTTTCCCTTGCCTTTTCAGGGTTTGCCCGTTTCGGGCCAGGTGTGTCGTGTTGGTGTTCTCTCTGTCCCTCTTCTTTTGCGTTCCCCTCTTC